TTCTGACTTGTAGGTCTCGTAGACGTCCTGTTTGGGCAGGCAGGTGTCTGAATGCTCCTCCAGGTGACTGCGGATCCAGTTACAGGTGTGAAGCTGGTCGGCCGTGTTAAATGAACTCGAATCGCTGCCGCTGAGAACACAAATTCAAGATTTACAGAGGTTCGCCGTTTCTGACAGAAAAACAACGAATCACAAACTATCAGGATAAAAAACAAAGGAGCAAAACGGAGAAGCAACGTCACCTTTTGTCTCCAGAACTCGGTCCAGAGGGCAGCTGCAGGTACAGGTACAACTTGTCATTGTCAGAGAAACGCTGAACATCTTGCTGTTGAAAAAACCCCACAGTGAATGAACCAGACCTGAGGTGAGCACCAAACCAGACTTTAACCTCACATCAAGTTTCTTACCAGGATCTGCTCTACTTTGGTCTGAACGTGTTTCCTGTAAGAGGACAGAGGACATGCTGATCAGATCCATCACGAACACCACACAGGGACGTCAGAGCTTCAGAAATTCTAATCCCCATTTTCACACACAACCACTTCCTGCTTCATTGCCCTCACTCAGACTTACGAGATGTTGCTCTTCAGTTTCTGCAGCAGCATGCTGGGCTCAGTGTCACCCTCCCCTGTCTCCAGACCGCCCTGGCCCCTCCGGGAGGCCTCGGCCCGTTGGTGACACTGGTCCTCGGACATCAGGACCAACTAACCAATGCTGTGAAACACCATCTGAGAGAGACACACAGGAAAACGCACACTGTAAGGACAAAAGCAGCAACTGAAGCCAGCTTTGTGGATGCTGTCCAGTCCGGGGCCTGCCGTCTGCCTGCAGCGAGCTCTTTATTCATTTTTTTTTTTAAATCTTTGCAGGGTTTGTCTGCAGTTCTCTTCTCAACAAACTCTGCTGTGCGTATTGCAGCCCACTTGTCAACCGATCAAATTGTGTCATCCACGCTCAACAATGTGCAGTCAGGATCTTGGAAGACTGCACGCGGACCCCCCCCCCCCCAATAATGTACATGGACAGACACATTTAAAACCAGCCTGCCCACCTGCAGTTCCTCTGAAGTTCAGCAGAGGGGCCAGCATAGGGTCAGTCCCCACAGACTCCCATAGCTTTCCAGCAGAACTAACCATGTTTAATAAAATATGATGAGACACTAACTGTGTTGAGGAAACAGTTTAAGAACTAATTTGATCAGCTTTGGCCTAAAAATCAACAATTAGTTACTAGGACATCAGGCAGGTGTGGCTCTCAATGCAGTTCACAGTCCTGCTGCAGTCCAGTGTTGGGATCCAGCGGGCCCTGAGGTATCACTGCTGCCCAGCTTTACTATACAGGCCTGCGGGGTCCAGAAACCTCAGAAACCGCCAAACACTTCCCTACTCGGACCCCACTGGGGACTCAGGTTTCACGTCTCGTCCATGCAGGCCCTCGATGCTGATCCAGTTAGAACGGTTTAATTTTACCGTCCAGGTTAAAAAATCTGGATGTAAACAGATGCAATCAACCCACGTTCCGGGTCACAGCTCTGCGGCGGCTGCGCGGCTGGCAGCCCGACCGCGGGCGGTAACGGAGAGACCAACGCCGGCTGTGTTACGGCAATCCCCGGAGCGGGGGAGGAGCAGCACGGAGCCCGCTACCGTTATCGGGAGTCGTCGGTGTGGCCGCAGTGTTTACAGCGCCGGTGGTCATGTGCTGCCATTTACAGCGCGCGCGCGCGCACATACACACACACGAGCCCAGCTGAACATATTACTCCGAAGCTAGCGGGCTAATCCCGTCCTCCGCGTAGCTACCGGAGGCGGCCCAGACTCGGTGGCTGAGTTGTTCTGAACAGATGTTAGAACCGTTTCACGACTGTCATGCGTGCGTGAATCGGCTCCCGGTTAGGATGCCGGTGATGTTCCGGATAACAGACATATACGGGCTACCTGCATGCTAATCATCATAGGGTGGCTCACAAGCTAAGCTAGTAGCTAACTGATAAGCATTAGCTAGTAAGCGCTGAAACAGCCCGTTAAATCGTTTCAGCGCGATCTTTTTCATTTCCAAATAATTCTTGATAATGATACATAAATTCTGTTATTACTGTATGATCCAACAAGCGAAGCCCGCTTCACTATTTATTTTAAAAAAGAAAAAGAAAGTACCTGAGCCAAGATACAGCAAAATTCCCCTTTTCAGATTTTTTTGTGATTGGACGAGTTTGTTATGTCTGCCTGACTACAAACCCAGCGTCTATTCCCATTGGTCAGTTCTCAAAAATCTACCCAGACACCAAAAGCGGGTTTAATCCTATTCGTCGAGTAGAAATGTTTTTAGAACAGGAATTAATTTGATTGGACGCCTTTTCCTGGTCTGCCCAGTTACAAAATAGATGAATTCTTCTGTCGAATTCTGCATAGCAACAGCGAAAGCGAAACCAGCTAATACAAAACGTAAAATTGACATGCATGTAGAAATGTTAGGAAGAAGCAGGGAGCTCAGGTTCTCAAGTCTGAAATGATCATTTAATATTAATAAACTGAATTCTCATTAACCACATAAAGGATATGGTTAAATATTATCTCTAATTGCTTAGGGTATAAAATCTGTTTTTTGCCTACAAACCCCAAGAATTTTATTGTGGATAAAAGATTAATTAAAAAAAAACACATTAGAATAAAGTCAACCATTCAAATGCCATGCTATGGTAAAACTATGTTGAACAGCTGATGCAAATCAGTGATTCTACTTTTACTGAGGACATATTTAGCTGTTTAATCTTCAAGGAAAACAGCTCTTTATTTTGTCACATGAATTTTCCATCATACAAAAGAGAAAGTACACAGAGTAAACAGGAACAGACAGGAAGAGAAAGGTTTGTTAGTGATGCTGAAACCCCTGCCTCTCGTCTTCATTCAAACGCGCTGCAGAGAAACATGAACACAAACATTAGTCACATTTACAGATTGCAAATAAAGCTTTGTTCACGCTGCTTACATATGACTGCTCACCCAACCATCCAGGCTGTCATGTTGTAAAGTTTGCAGACGACACAGCTGTGGTTGGTTGCTTCAGAAACGATGAGACCGGCTACAGGAAGGAGGTGGAACACTTGGAGGACTGGTGCAGGAAAAATCTCTGCTTAAATGACAAGAAGACGAAGGAGAAGATTGTGGACTTGAGGAGGGGAAGATACACACACACACACACCCCTGCACGTTGGAGGATCTGCACTCTAAGTAGTACCCAGCTACAAGTACCTGGGTGCGTACCTAGATAGCAACCTTACCTGGAAAAACACTTCCAGCCTGATCAGGAAGGCTCACCAGAGGCTCTACTTCCTGAGGCAAATGAGATGCGTGGGAATGGAGAGCTCAGTCCTCAACTCCTTTTACAGATGTGCGGTGGAGAGTGTTCTGTGCTCTGGCATCAACGTGTGGCACAGAAACTGCACTGAGGCAGAGAGGAAAGCTCTACACAGGGTGGTGAAGGAGGCAGTGTCCCAACCATCACAGACATATACACCTCCGGATGCAAGACGAGGGCCACCTGTATAGTGAAGGACCCCACTCACCCAGCACACTCACTTCTTGTCCCGCTCCCCTCAAGCAGGAGGCTGAGGAGCATTAAATGCAAAACCACCAGACTGAGAAACAGCTTCATTCCAGAAGCTGTGAGACTTTCTGGATACATAAATGGACAAGAACTGATATTGTAGTACCTTAACCACTACTGACACCGTCACTTTATCAGTGCTGGACATCATGGTCGTTTGCTGCTGTATCTATACTCCATACTGGTACTCAGGTTTTTGCACTCTATTTATTTGTTATTCTGTTTCTTTCACTCCAGGATGTGTGCACATCATTTCATTCCACCTCATGTAAACATGTGATGCGAATGACAATAAAGAATCCTTGAATTCTGTTCATCTGGACGTAGCGTTTTCAGTGGGAGAAACGTTTCGTCATCATCCTGGTGACTTCTTCGGTCTCAGCTAACTGCAGGTTTCCCCAACCTTATAAACAGTACATTTTCATAATATTGGGGAAACCTGCAGTCAGCTCAGACTAGCTAGCAAGCGCTGAAACAGCCCGCTCTTTCTCATTTCCAAATAATTCTTGATAATGATACATAAACCCAGCGTCTATTCCCATTGGTCAGTTCTCAAAAATCTACCCAGTCACCAAAAGCAGGTTTAATCCTATTCGTTGAGTAGAAATGTTTTTAGAACAGAAATTAATTTGATTGGAAGCCTTTTCCTGGTTTGCCCAGTTACAAAATAGACAAATTTTTCTGTCAAATTCTGCGTAGCAGCAGCAAAAGCGAAACCAACTCAAACAAAACAAAGTTGACATGCATGTAGAAGCGTTAGGAAGAAGCAGGGAGCTCAGGTTCTCCAGTCTGAGCATTTTATAATAACTGAATTCTCATTAACCACAAAGGATGTGGTTAAAATATTTACACGATCTCAAATTTCTTAGAGTAAATAATGCTTTTTCCCTACAAACCCCAAGAATTTTAATGTGGATAAAAGACTAATTCCAAAAAGTAAAAAAAACAAAACCCCCATTAACCTCCTAGAACCTGGCGTCCACATATGTGGACATCACATTTTGGGTTATTTAGACCAAAATACTCAATTTTGCTCTACATATCCACTTACAAGGACATTATACTGCTTGTGTTCTATCAACATTTTAAACAAATATCCTCATATGTGGCTCTCATTTTTCTTAGAAACAAAAATTAGGTTTTAAAAAATCTGGTAATTCTTTGTTTTTACATTCATCGGGTCCCAATCAGCCCAAATTTCAAAGAGAAATTAAAAATGCTGCTGTGGAAGAGTTCGGGTCTTAGGAGGTTAAAATAAATTAAACTCTTTAAACCAACGTGCAGTAGTAAAAATCTGTGGAACAGTTGATATAAATCAGTGATTCTACTTTTACTGAGGACAAATTTAACTGTTTCATCTGAAGATAATCTTCAATAATCTGCAGATGACAAATAAACCAAGGAAAACAGCTCTCTTTATTTCTTACATTTATTTTCCATCATACAAAAGAGAAAGTACAGAGTAAACTGGAGCAAACAGGAGGAGAAGGGTTTGTTAGTGATGCTGAGACCGCTGCCACTTCTCTTCATTCAAACCCGCTGCAGAGAAACATGAAGAAAAATGTCAGTCACATCTACAGATTGTAAATAAAGCTTTGTTTGTATCTGATCAACATTTTCATTACAGTGAAGTCAGGTGTTCTGCTTGGTTATGCTATCGACATATCGGTAGTGGTTACTCTCAGAAACAGTTTTTAAACTTGGAGGAAAAATCCCTAACTCTTCCTCGTCTTCTGACCTTTGACCCTACCTGACCATGTGGGCTATGTCCCAGTTGGTTTCAGAAGACAGGGGTCCGAGGATCTCCACGCCCTCTTCGGTGACGATAGCGATCTCGTGCTGAAATGAAACAGAAATAAAATTGTTACTTTCTCCGGATGGCGTCCAGTACACCTGAGTGTGCGCGGCGGTGTGACTTACTCTGTTGTAGGAGCGAGCATCTCTGTAGTACAACACCTTGAGGCACCGCTCCACCAGCTCCCGTGCCTCCTGTTTGGTGATCTCCACCTTGTTCTCCACCACCTCCCTCATCAGAGGCTGCACACAGATTCAACACAGCTTTACTGGCACATGTCCAAACTCAGCACAAACACTCCATCACTGGTCTCCGCGGTAACGCTCTAATGCCTCAACTGTTAGTCAGCTGTATGACCACACCTTAAAAACCTTTAGACATGATTAATCTTCTAAAGCCAGCAGAGCGTTACAGCTGAAACTCACCTGAGCCAAGTATGCACCAAAGCCTGTAGCCACTGTGGGAGCCTCATAAGCCACGCCCAGTTTATCCACGTAACCTAGGAAACTGGAGAGAAGGAAGGTGGCAACCTGGTGAGAGAAGAGCTACTTCCCATTTCAGGTTCACCTCTAGTAGTAGTATTTATTTATTGTCATTGTCAAGAACAATGAAATTGCGTTTGGGGCTTCCATACAACCCAAAAAGAGAAGAAAATAATAAATACCCCTTAAAACCCAAGTGTACATATTTAACCCAGTGTGACTCCAATGCAATAAGACAATCCTTAGCAATAATGTTCGTAGAAATTCAGACAAAGACCTGAGAAACATGACAAAATACAACAATGCAACCCATTCAATATTATTGTACTGTGAGATATGATATCAGATATGATAGTTATCTATTTAAGAAAGAGGGGGGGGGGCAGGAGGGGGAAGAGAATAAAGATATGATGCACCAATGCAGACCAGTTCATTGCTATTAAGAAGTTGGATATGGTTATTGTCCGTGAGAGGGGGGCAGAGAGTTCAGGAGCCTCACAGCCTGTGGATACAGGCTGTTGGCCAGTCTGGATGTTCTGGCCTGTATATGCATCCTGGGAGTTATATACTTCTTTCTTTTTTTTTAAAAAACCGCCGTATCCATGAGCACCAAAAACATAAAACATTAAAGAAACAAAACTGACCTAGAACTAAAAAACAGGCGGTAACAAATACGAATGCAGCTTGACTGGTCTGACCCCAACCACCCCCCCACCCCGAGTCTCACCTCTCCCCGTTGTAGAAGCCGCCGATGACTACGGTATTCCACAGTGGGTTCATGCGGCTGCGGCGGTTGTACATGACGCGGGTGAGCCACGAGTGCACGGCCTTTGGGCTGTAGCTGTGCCCGTCACCTAGCAACTCCTCATCGATACTGACGGAAAACGACACCAGTGAGATGGGAAGGGGGATGTACAAGTGTGTGTATGTGAGTATGCACATACGTGTGTGTGTGTGCGCACGCTTACACCATCTGCTCGATGACCTGTTTCAGGTGTTGGTAGTCGGCGTAGTCGCCCGAGGCTCCCAGGATGGTGCTGTTGTTCACCTGTGGAGGAAACACAAATATTAAAGTTGCTGAAACAAGCAGTCGGTCAGCTGACCTCTGCTGGTGGTGGCATCACCTTCATGAGGCGGGAGATGTTCCTGAAGCGAGCCAGAGAGCCATACGAGCCCAGCATGTCTGCGGCGATCACCACCCCGCCAGTGAATTTCACACCAAGTACCGACGTTCCTGTAACCATCGGGTTCCTGTGGAAGGAGGACGGGGCACGGTTACTTTAAACAAGTCCAATGATGGTGTAATTAGCCTGTGCGATGGAACATGTGAAAACCCAGAGGGCAGAGAGCATGTCCTACTGAGAGGACATCTCAGCTGGCCCTGGCATGCCTCGATGTTCCCCCCAGATAAGCTGGGGCCATTGCCCCGTGGCTCGACTTCAACTAAGCAGAAGAAAATACCTACATGCTTTACTGTCTCGATATTTTAGATGTAGAACTTTTATTGAAGTGGTCGTCATGAATTTTCGAACAGTGTGCATCGCTACTAATGCACGGCACAACACACAAACAACACGCATGTTTCTTCGTTGTCTGGACTATGTGTGTATAGATATATATATTCTAACACACATGCATTGTGAACTTAAATATTTCACAATGCACGATGAAAGGGGTCACACAGTTAAGCAGCATGATTCTGCCTTTGTCCAGTTAATGGGCGTCAATTTTAACTTGCTATCGAAGTGATTCTTACTTTTAGACTAGTCTAATCTTTCTCTTCTTTTACTCAGCTAAGAAACTAGTTGCCAGGAACACGCCTACATGTAACAGAAAATAACTATGCTACCCACAATCCTCTGCTTAAACGTCTGATTGGTGGAGGGCACAGTTACCTTGGAAGTGATAATACACACACACACACACACACACACACACACACACACAGTATGATCTGAACAGAAAGGACTCGGCTAAAGGAGGTCAGAGGTCATTCTCATGGGAGCAGTAGTTCATTCGCCTATAGCCACTCTGGTTAGTTTCTAAAGCATCACTCTGTTGATAAACAGTAAATTGCGCCCTGTGGATAACGTGTCTGCTCTCATTCACCCACCCGTTACCATGGTGACGTAAGCAGACGCACCCTCAGGATGCTGAAAGCTCTGCATGGACAAGCCTGGCTGTATTTCCCGTAAACCTCCACACTGCAGTGACAGATCACTGACGCCTGTCCTCGAGTATTGCTGCCTGGGTCACAATTTTAACCCTGTTAACTCTGAGTGCACGTCCCAAGATGGCGCTAGTGCCAGCAAACAGCAGTGAAGCTGCTCGAGGAACGGGTCCACCCAACTCAACTAAACCTGTTGTTGAAACACCGCACGAGAGCTCAGGCAGACTCAGGTGTGACCCGTGGGTCTCCCGTCGGCGCTGACGTTGCTCAGCGGAAAGGACGGAGAATACCCAGCGTTTAAATCAGTGTAACCCGGCAGTTAGCTTAGCATTAGCTAGCCTCCTCCATGATGATGCAGCACTCAAACCGAAACCCCGAAACCGGCACCGGGACGGCCCCGGAGCAGGACCGCGGCTCACTCACAGTGTGTGTCGGACCGGTCCACAAGCTGTGCCCGGCCCGCTATTGCTGCTCCCGGGGAAGGAGTAAAAGTGTCCCGGCTTCGGACCGTCCTCCCACAGACTCAACTTCACTCCACCACACTCCATGTTAGATACTGCCGGAAGTGACGACAACGCCCCTTCTTTTAGGCGATTAGCCGGTTTGATGTCACAGGATGGTGTTTTACCGCCGCCTACTGACGGGAGGAAACAATACAGCGCGTCAGTAGTGAACCTGAACTAAAGTCTTAAAATATTCTAAAACCATAAATTTTAACTGGAATAATTTCTTAAAATTATAATAAAAGAAAAAACAATTAAAAAAAAACAGCCGTTTACTGGTGTTTCCTGTGTTGCTGCCTCATTCTGATTGTGCTGTTGCTGATTTACCTTTAATTTGAAGATAATGAAAAAGAATATCTTTAAATAGCTTATCTCTGCTCTGATTTAATAACACACAGTGGCAGAGATAAATACTTCAACATCTGTCTTTTCCCAAGTCTGAAAAAATGTGAAGTAGATTCAGATTCTAAATGTGAAAAGGAAAATAATTGTGGACGCAGCCAACTTTTGAGATGAAATTCAGAATAATTTAGAAATACTAAACTGCAACAAATACAGGGTCAAGAGAATGCTATTTCTGAAGTGCAAAACCTTACTGAGTATAGGAGACGGTGACGAGCCAAGGTTCCAGAGAGGGAGGTTTGCCAGGTTGGTAAGCTGAAGGAGGTGAGATATCTGACCTTTTTTTTAAAACTGTAAACATACAAACACGAACATACACGCCGAAAAGGAAGGAACAAGAGGTCGTGGGATGATTATTAACAAAATCAAGTACAATAGTTACTTTTGCAGTAAAAGTTAGAAGCAAAATTGTATGATCCAACTGTACAATCTCACCTAGTCTGCTTCAAGAGCCAAACGATAACACCATTTCTCCCACATTTTCTTCCTGGGTCCTTTGGAGCCTTATAGCACATGTCATTTGCTCTAATGTATGTAACTGTTTCATAACGAAAATAAATAAAATGCCTGTTAAGGGGCATTTCTGAAGCCAGGACTTTGTAATGGCTTTTTTGTTGGCTGCTGACATAACTTTCAGAAGGTATTTATCTGTACTGTTCAAGTGATCTGAAACAAGTTTTACCATGTTGTGGAAAAAGAATGACCAGTAGGACAAGCGAGAAAATGCCCTGAGCGGTGCAGTAAAACAATGGGCTCAAACGCCTTTTCCTCTCCTTCAGGGTCAACCGCAAGCACCGACTCTGCATGGGCTCCACTGGTGGCTGAAGAGATGAGTGGGCGGTGTGGGGACGGACAACAGAGGTGAACTAGCAGGTGCCTTATGGGCCTTGTAGTTCTTTTCAGCTTCCCTTTGCCTCAGGCAGTTGTCAATCGTGAAAGTAAAGGAGGTTAATTCCTCAAAAGAAGCAGGTACACTGGTCTTTCATCTGGTCATTTAGTGCCTGCAAAAATACAGCCCACTGTGATGGTACTCATAACCATTCAATGGTCACTGATCAATGATCATTGATCAATGATCATGGCAGTTTGCATAGAATAATCCTTTAATTGTCCCACAAGGGGAAATTTGGTTGTAACAGTAGCAAAAACACACATATACAAAAAGAACAGGACACAGGTGAGAAACACAACTTTTACATATTTACATCATGGACAATAGTTACCAAAGCAGAGTCCTGTACAGTTATTAAAACTAAAGTACAGATAAGTGGCAAACAGAGCAGGGTACTGAAAGATGTTTAAAGATTTAAGAATATTTAGAATAATTAGAAAAGTGCAGATTGTGTGATTGTACCTGTGCATTAAAAAGTAAACGTGTAACTTCCAAAAAGTTAGCGTATATAAACTGAGAAAAGTAATATGCAGCTATAACAGTAGTAGTTGTTCGGTTGATGAGTGCAGTTACAGCGCTGATGTAAACATCTGTGTTTGTTGGGAGCAGTTCTGATTGTGCAGTCTGACAGCTGCAGGGAGGAAGGGCCTGCAGAAACGCTCCTTCATGCATCGAGCATGCAGCAGTCTGTCACTGAAGCAGCTCTGCAGCAACACTTACATGCATGGGGTGGGAGGCTCTGTCCATCAGAGATGTTATTTTGGCCAGAGTCCTTCTGTCTCCCACCACCTGCACTGGGTCCAGGGTGCATCCCAGAACAGAGCTGGCCTTCCCGATGAGTTTATCCAACCTCTTCCTCTCAGCTGCTGATAAACTGCTGCTCCAACATACCTCACTGTAAAAAATGACAGATGTCACCACAGAGTCATAGAAGGTCTTTAAAAGCGCTCCCTGGACTCCAAATGACCTCAGCCGCCTCAGCAGGTGGAGTCTGCTCTGACCCTTCCTGTAAAGAGCATCAGTGTTGTGGCTCCAGTCCAGTTTATTATTCAGGTGAACACCCAGGTATCTATGAGAGTCCACTATCTCAATGTCCACTCCCTGGATGTTCACCGGTGTCAGTGTGGTGGGTCTGCGTCTCTGGAAGTCCACCACCGGTGGCCACACTAAGAAAAGCAACCACAAACTCAGCTACGCTTGGATTGCCACGACGGGTCAATCATTTCTTGGAAGAACTGCTCTCAGACACTGGATAAGCAAAAGTCTTTTTCAGTTCATTGAAGAAAGCATCATATCGGGAGGAAGCAATAGGATGAAAAGTGAAAAATGCTTTGGCCCACAAAAGCGCTCTTCCCCTCAGTAATCTCCCACCTTAAGAAAGCTTATTGGCATTATCAGGGAAAGAGTGTGACAAGCAGCTTAAGGCTGGGGAACATTGTGATAAGAATCCCCCACAACATCCCAACTCGTGGTTTAAGCAAAACACTGTTGCTAAGCATGCCCACGACGTCGATGTCGATGGATGGACCGTTGGACAGAAGGACATTTAGAAGGATGGATGATGGATGGGTGAACAGTCGAATGGATAGATGGAAGGATGGACAGATGGATGATTGATGGGTGGATGGATGAATGTTGCATGGATAAATGCTTTTATTCCAATTTATAGACCACACTGAAACACCTCGAACGTTCACAGGACTTTTTCCCTTGACATTTCTTCCCCACGGATGTTCTGATATCCATGATCTCACTTTGAAATCCATCAAACCCACTAACCCCATCAAAGCCCAAAGCGGATACCATAGTAAGCCGGCTCTGGACCTCAGCCCACGTGATGCTGCTGATTTATCTGTTTTTGTTTGTGTAATGAAACTGTCGTTTAAAGAAATCAAAGAGAGAGTTCAGGCACACACTGACAGGATGCTTTTATTCATTTCCATTTTTTCTCAGTACACAGAACTCCTGCACAGAATCTCTCACTTTGTGCCCACTTGGTTTTACAGGTGCGGCCAGAGTGACACAGGCGGCTCATTCTGACTGCTTTTATGTCTTAAAGCTGATGAAACCTGATCACATGATAAAAAGTTGATGTAGAATTGTTGAGGTTTTTGTGCTCATGTTTAGTCCTGTGATGACTTCAAGGAATCATGAACATCTCAAACACGAGTCTGACTGAGAATAAGTCAATGAGCTCAACAAAAACCCTTTGTTCTCTGTGTCGTTTGTGGATCCTCCACTGGAGCTCCTGCTGAGACCTCCTTCCACATGGAGCTCTGAGGCTGATTCTGGTCACAGGATGGAGGACACACCTCAGAAGTGCTGATGGCTTTATATGGCCTAATGCTTTAACCTGCAGCAGAGCTGTGAATAAGGTTGCAGGTGTCTCTTTATATTAATAAAGTAATGTGTGTCCATGTGTTAGTCACCGAAGGGAAATTACTCCTCTGCATTTTCCCATTTTGCATTTTCTTTTCCAACTATTTATTTATTTATGAGTGAAGTATGTATGTGTATATATGTATATATTGTACTA